GATAGAGATTTGGGATTAGGAAATATTTTATTTTCCTCTTGATTTTCCAAAATTTAAAAGAGTGCGTGAACATGTGGAGCAGTGCTAAGTGGCTTTGGCACTCTGCCTTAGTGACCAGAGTCACAGGCAGGAGCAGCGACAGTAGTGGACCAGGGTGCTCTGTGCTTTTGGGGAAGCCAGATGACTGTTGCCCTTCAGGAAGTTGGGCCACAATAGCTGAATCTTCTGACCTTTTAGAAGTCGGAAATCAGGATGATTTTGAAGTGATTATCTCCCAATTCATAAATATTTGTTTGAAAATACTGCACGAGGCAAATAAATCCTCTCTTGGCCACAGGCTGTTGGCCTTGATGTTAACCTTGAGCCCCTGATTTCTGCACCTCCCACCACTTGTGTAGACACCTGCTGTGGTCCTGCACCTCCTCCTTTGCTGTGGCCTGCACCCTGCGCTGGCTTTTCTCCCCACATCACTGCCCCTGCCGCTGAAGTATGCTCTCTGGCCAGGTCTCTGCTGTCAGCAGTACAGGATCCACCCTCAGGTTACCGTTCAGAGCTTTCTCAATCTGACCCCACCACTCTGTACACCCCTCCCCACCTATGTTCCCGTCATACAGAGCTGCTTAGCTGTCCCTGAGCAGTGCTAACACTTTTTTTTTTTTTTTTGGTACTGGGGATCAAACTCGGGACCTTATGCTTGTGAGACAGGCAGCAGAACCACTGAGCTAAATCCCCAACACCACTTTTTTTCATTAATAGAGCAATCTTAGTTTTTAAGAACAATTTTAGATTTATAGAAAAATTGAGTTGTTAGCATAGGGAGTTCCTATGTGTTCCTCTGCCCTCTTCCCCCTCCTTCCAGTTTTCTCCTATTAATATCTTCACTAGCGTAGTACATTTGTTGCAGTTAACAAACCAGTATTGATACATCATTAACTGAGGTTCACAGTTTATATTGCTTCACTTTTTGTTGGTAATATAAATATTTTTAAATACCCTTTAAAATCTTTTCAAAATTTGATTTTCTTTGTTTGCGTGCTCTTTCTTTAATCCTAGAAAGATTCTTTTCAAGCACAAATATGACTATCAATCCGTCTGCAAAGCCTTCGCTGGCTGTTTATTTTTAGAATGGAACTAGAAGGGAGGGAGTAGACAACACAGAAGAGAACCGACATTTTGATCAAGTTCCTAGTGCACTGCCAAGTAGTATTTATATTCTTCTGAACCTCTGTACAATCACACAAGATAGATATCACTCATAGCCCCCTCATCCACAATTTCTCCTGTACTTTCAGTTAGCTGCAATCAACTGCAGCCCCAAAATATTAAATGCCATATCCCAGAAATAAACAGTTTATAAGTTTTAAATAACTTTTTTTACAGTGTATCGTTTTCTATTTTATTACTAGTTACTGTCCTTAATCTCTTACTGTGACTAATTTATAAATTAAACTTTGCCACAGGAAGAAACATACTATATGTGGGGTTCAGTACATCTATGATTTCAGGCATCCGCTGGGGTCTTGGCATATATCCCCTTCACATAAGGAGGGGACCACTGAACACTCCATGTACAGATTAAGTCAGATGTCTAAAGCCCCACAGCTGGAAACTGGTTTGAATCTATGTCTACCCAACTCTAAAGCCTGTGCCCTCCCACCCTCTTCCATGTGGCTGGAGTCTGACCATTTCTCTAGGCTTGCTGCCTCTCCCATCAATCAGCCTGAGTCCAGTAGAGTGAAGAGCACTGCATTTTACAGCTCTTTGAAAAGAGGCTCCAAATATCAACATCAATTAATGTGGCAAAAGCTTGTTGTATTACTATGTGCCAGACTGTTGGAGAGTGAAGTCAGGCAAAGAAAGAAAAGTGCTGGTGATGCAGCTGTCCAGGTCATAAATCCCCACTGGGCAGCACCAGAGAGGCTGTGGATTTTCCCCTTATCTATGACTAGGATGTAAGCTGCAAAAGATCAAGTACTGTTTGGTCTGTGCTGCAGACCCCCAGACAATGCCTGGTAATAATAGTTGCTTAATAAGTATTTGTTGACTGGATGTTTAAATCCTGTCACAAATTTGGGACACCTAAAATGACAACTGCTCAGCGTTCTCTTGTGTGTTCAGTCACCTTCCCCTAGGGCAATGATGGCAAACCTTTACAACCCAAACCCACTTATTTATTGCAGAGTGCCAACACTGCAGTTAAACCTGAATACTGAGGTTTTAGTTTAGAAAAAGCAACTCATACATTAATATCTTTTGTCTTAAAAGAAAAACAATAATAGAGCTTTCAGTGATACAGACAGCTTTTTATTGAAAGGTAAAAGTTGGCAATAGATGTGCTTTTGTATGATTAATGTGATCTTTGCTGTTGCAGGCATGCTGATAATTTGTCAAACCTTGGCTGGGGCAACTTGGCTCCAGTACCCACAGAGTGGGCTCTGCATGCCCATGGCAGCACTCATGCCATAGTTTTACCACTTCTGCCCCAGAGCCTGGCAGCTTTAGGGGTCTCTGTACTTGGTTCAGGGCAGCTTGGTATTAAAGGCTGTTTGCAAATTATCGCAGGCCTGCACCCAACCACACTCTTAGCCCAGAATCTGCACATCAGAACTTCAGACTGGGGGGAAAGAGGTACTGCCTTGGCTCTGGCAGTCTTTAGAGCTAATGGACAAATGACCCTTCCCAGGAGACGCTGGGAGCACATGGCTTGACCACAGATCTAGTTCCAGAGTCCTGGCCTCAGTCCTGGACCTCACACCAAAGGATGGCCTTATTTTTCTTGAACCTAGCACTAAATGTCATGTGAGGGTGGTTGTGTATTCAAATATTTTCTGAAAGAAAAATATCTTTTAAAACACTAACCTGTTTCATACATTTACTTACAAAACTTTCCTCTCTTCTTCCTCTGGCTTCTTTCTCCCCTCTCTTTCCCTGGCCCATTTTTTCTTTGACTTTTCTGACCCTGTTCTTCATTTATATAGCTCTGTATCTTCCACTTGCTTATTTCCATCAGGTTCCTCTAAGTGCACCTCTCTCACCAGTTGTCCTGTGTAAACAGATCACTTTCTATTCGTTCCTGGTAAATAACTAGGATCACAATTGTCTGGTTTGTGCCCACGGTGACAGAATTGATGGACCTGTAGGCTGATTTTCATAAACCAGAGCTACCAAGCGTTTCAAAAACAGTCTTGTTTTTGCCAAGCAAGGTGAGCAAATACAGGACTAAGTTTAAACATCCATCAGGAGTTATTTTTGAAGTGATCACTTCTAAATGAGAAGCATTTGAAAATCTCACCACTGTCTTTACAAGTAAATTCCAAAGTCATGTATTTTGCCTGTGTCTGCTGATTAATTATGATCCTGTTACAACATAAAAAGCCCCAGTGGTTGGTTTGGTGCAGCTGTGGAGAAAAGAAAGCAAGCTCCATTGACTTTGCCAGCTCTCTCAGGACAGTGCGGACTGAGGCTGAGGGAGGCATTTTTCCCTCTGGCAGTTACTGCATAAGAACGGCAGCTCCAGCCAGACCCAGTTCTCTAGACTCCACGTAGGCGGTTTGGGTCCCTGAGGGGGTGTGGGGAAGGAGTGACATCTGATCTGTTGCTTCTGTAATAACAGATCTTTTATGAGAGAAAGCGTTTTTGTCCTCCACATTAGGACTTATGTGCATTCTCTGGTACAGTTCTGTTTAAGAAAAAAAAATTGTTACATATAGTAAAATAATCAGAATTTATTTTGATTCTTTAAACAGAAGGTACTCAGCATGTATTGTTGGTGGCCGTTGCAGATATCTGGTCCAGGAAAACCTGCCAGCTCACCCGTTAGGGTCTGACAACTCTGGATCTAGTTTATCTTAGCCTCTTACTTTTTCTCATTATTCCTTTCTGTGTCCGACTCTCTGTTTCTTCACTACCATGAGCCCAATCTTTCATTAGCAGGCAAGAAAGAAAGAAAAAGCTGAATATGGTTACTTGGGGTCATCTGCAGTGAAGGATGCAATAGAGGAAAAAAAAAAACAAATAGTAATAATAGATGTTCAAGTTGTTGGTGTGTGTATCTGTTCTTGTTTTCTTCCACCCACCTTTTCCTCTTGATTTAGATAAAGGGCCCCAAAACCGAAGTTTTCTCTCACATGTGTCCTTCTCCTTGGCACATGCGAAGGTCAGAGAATTTCAGCTACCCTTTCATTCTCTGCTGCAGATGTGTCCTCCTCACAGAGGCTTTGTGGATGTCATTGCTGAGCACACACACACTTGCACAAGCCCTGTATCACTTGTCTGCTGGAACTGTGGCCATCGTTCTAAATATAGGCCACTAGAGAGATGACAGGGTCTCACCTTGCTCCATTTAATTCTGGCACAGAATGCCACATCCGAGTAAGATTGCAGTGTGTCTGTATTGCTGCCCCACACCTGACCTCTAAGAGAGGATCTGCTCTGTCACTACCCACTATTTGAAGAGGCAAACATTGGTGTGCCTGCTTCTTTAGCCAGTACTGATCTGATGAACCCAGACATGAAAACCAATTTAGACTCCGAGGCAATTTATTTTTCCTATAGCAAGACTTTGACTCTAAAAGCCACATTATAGAGTTGGGAGTGTAGCTCAGTGATAGAGCACTTGTCTAGCAAGCATGAGACCCTGGGTTCCATCCTAGGGCTGCAAAAAAAAGAAAAAGACATGTTTTGCTTTCATATGGGACTACTAACATAAATAAATTCATTTATTGGTTGTTTCAAACTAGTAAGCTCCTGGAGCAAGTGACTAATTAACAGAGTAATTCCCAAGTTTGGGGATTGTACAAGGGACCCACAGCACAGGTATGGGTTGAAACTATAGGGTTCTCATCTCACCACTGCTGTGTACTCCAAAATCAGAGCCACATCCAGCAGATGCCTGTTTGAAGGGAATATTTTGAGGACAACTAAAGGGGAGGAACTGATCATTTAGGAAAAATACATTTTTACATCAGGATATTGCTTTTTGTCTTTTTTTTTTGGTTTAGGTTTTTCATTTATTACAAGCCTATGCAGACTCCAAACACAGGATGGACTCGGACTTTCAGCAGGAGCTGACTGACATCACTGTCTGTACAAAAGCCAAACTCTGGCTGGCCAAGAGGTATGTTAAAATTCCACACGAGCAAGGAATTATCAGGGGTTAGCACTACATTCAAAATGGCAGTTCCTAGTTATAGGGAGGTTTAAAAGTTATTGGCATGAGTTTTCTAAACTAGGATATTTATCCTTTTAGAATTTTGGGTTATGGTAAAGGAAGAAAAAGATCCACTTGACTTTTTTTTTTTGGTACTGGGGATCAAACTCAAGTCCTTGCGCTTACAAGGCAGGAGGTGGAACCACTAAGCTAAATCCCCAGCCCTCTCTTGACTATTTTTTAAAACTGGTGAGTTACTGGAGGACAGGTAATAAGGCTTTTTATCTGGCCACCAGTCTGCTAGTTTTTATTAATAGCCGCTGTGTGCCCAGCCCTATGTTAGACATGAGAACAGTGAAAGGCAGTAATTGGCATGGTCATGAGTATAAACTGTCTCAGAGGCTAGAGATTGGTGTCAGAGACTGGCGTGGGCACTGAGGGACAGAGAGGGGTGAACAAGAATGGAGTAGAAGTTGCCCCCTCTTTTTTTTTTGAGTGGGAAGTACAATAGCTTGAATAAGCAGGGCAAAGAAGGAGAGAAATATGTGTGTTTTTTATCTTTGCCATTTTTATTTTCACATTTGCTATGTGAAAAAGAGTAAATAGAATTTCTCATTTAATAATCTGCAGGGAGTATTCTCTGTAACATTATATTCAAAACCTACTTGTTAAGGTACTCTGATGTTGGCAGGACAGTGTACCTGCAGGGGCCCCTTACTTCCTCTATAAGTTCCAGCAAGGTAGACCTTTGAGTGACATTACTACATTCCAGGCCATAGTATGTGGTGTCTGATTAAGAGTCAGTACATCAGTTTTCTGATACAATGGTCTGTCTCTCTGTCTCTCCCTTCCCCCTTAAATGTTTTTCTGTTTACTTTTGTTGGGCTCCCCCCTTTATATGGCAAGTTAGGTCATGGGCATTGTGAGACACACAAACCATTTTAATTCTAAAAAGTATTGCTGAGCACAGGCCATGTGTCAACATTTGTGTTAGAAGAGGTGGGGATGCAAAGGGAGAGAACAAATAGTCCTGGCTTCAGGAGTATCCAGGAGGTAAGAAAGACGTGTAAGTAGGTAATTTTCACTAACTTGGTTAAGTGTAATAACACATATATGTGATACAAGAGCAAGAGACAAGTAGACTTTTGTCCCATGGCTAGGGGAGAATTGCAGGCTTCACTGTTAGCATAGGTAGAAACACAGCAGATGAAAGGTCATGGTAGGTTTGAAGAGCTATAAGAAAGTCAGCCTCTCCTGAGCCAGAGAGTGAGGCTGAAGAACAGGCAGGGGCCACAGTGACAGCTCCTAAAGGTGACCTTTGATGAGGGGAACTGGTGACAGATATCCCCCTCCGTGGGGATATATCTTGACAATGGCCCCAGCACTGGTAGCTCTGGTTGGGAATACTGAGGGAGGAATCCTCTAGCGTCTGGAAAGCAGAACATTTATGGTAGACCTTTCATCATTAATTCCATTTTTATTTCCTCCATTTCATTTAGAGTATGAGTTGCTTAATCATAAAACATTTCTCTAAGCCTAGTACCATTTGACTTGTGTATGGCTCTTAAGAGTCCCCAAGTCACATTTCTCAGGAGAACAGGTACTTAAGGTCACATTTATACTCTCAGTCATTTGCAATTAATAGGTCTGGGCCTCCTAGTCACTGTTTCTAGGGATCAGCCAGTCAGGGTTCTCCCCAAATCAACCTGTTGAAACTGCTTCTCGCTAAGACTGCCCCAAGAATCGTGACTTTACAGTGCTGTCAGGAACAAATTTCTGCCCTTTTACCTTACTGCTTCTTCATGGGCTTCACAGAAAGTTTTACCCACTGGCTTCTTAAGTCCATCCCTCCTTGCTGAGTGAGACAGAGATGGAGTGACAGGCCAGTCACTGCTGGACCTTTGTCTTATACAGTGCCTGAAGATGACTGACAAAGCTACCATCAAATTTCTCTTCAGTCCGAGAAGCCCTCCACGTCTTTGTAAACCTTTCCTGTGTGCCCTCTTCCTGTTCTCTAATCAGATTTTTCATCACCATTATCATCACCATCATCTCTTCTCTGTGATTTTTTTCTCCTTAATTTTCCAACCCTAGAAAAGAAAGGCATGAATCACTGCACTTCATTGGGTTTCTACCTTTGCGTTGAGTCCAGGAAAGCCACTTCTCTGTTTCCAGTACAGTCAACTCTCTATTATCCAAGTGTGAACTTTCCACTTGGTAGGTGGTCTGTGGATGGTTCCTAACACTGGGTTTCCTTTTGCTCTGCAACACACTTTTTACCAGTATTAATGAGGATGTGTTCAGAGTCTGGAATGGAGTTTGGAAGGAATACATGCTGTGAAAGCACAATACATTCCAAAGTTTTGTATCAGCCTTTCCATGTGAGCCATCCCATTGACAGGATAACCCTGACGATCCCAAATGGGCTAGTATAGAGTTGGGTATAAGAGATGAAAACTTAGCCCTGCCTTGTCCTTGAGGGCCTCTTGCTGTGGCAGGTGTTTATCTATACCAGTTAACTCCATGCTCAGATGAACCCACCTAGTGGTCCCTTCTCCAAGCAAACCTGTCTTCACTTTTTCACGTGACTTTGCCATGAAGATCAGCACAGAATAGTCTAAACTCCACTGCTGAAGAGGCTCATTTAAGTCCCTGGTAATTTACACATGAAAGTAAAATAAATGTTCCTTTGAGTCCCTGAGGATTTTCTGTATCTTTTTAGTATAAGCTATGAAAAACCTAAGTTGGACTGGGGATTTAGCTCAGCGGTTTTGCCGTCTGCCTTGCAAGCAGAAGGGCCTGAGTTCAATCCCCAGTATAAAAAAACAAAACGAAAAGTAATATTATTACAGAAAGAAAACGTTGTTTTAAATTTTAGCACTAACACCTTTTTCTTCCTATAATTTATTTAATCACTAGCCTACGTTCTTTCAGTTCAGTAAGTACAAAAATTTTAGTAGATGTGTCATTTATTTTTCCTTTTGTTCCCAAAGAAGGCTTTAAAAAATTCACTGGAGGCGTGGGATAACTAATTCAGTTTTCAGATTTTTGCTCGGAAATTGAGGGCACATAAAGGCTTTTGTCATATATTTGTGTTTTGACTTTGTAAGATTAATAAGGATTTATATGAGGTGGTTGAGCAATAGCTATGGAGTTGTTGGGAATTTCTGATGATGAATGGCCAGCTGGCAACATGGCTTGAGCAAAGGACTGGGCTTCTGCTTTTACAGGCCACTTTGCATTCCAAGATGTCAAAGTCTTTATGGAAATCAGCTCATTAATCCTTCAAGTCCCTTCTTTCCCCTTTTTCCTTCCTCCCTCCCTCCTCAATCCAGTTCATTGTCTCTCTCATGGTGCTAAGGCAGTTTACCTACCACTGAAAGAAGACTAAGCTATGCCTGGCCAGGAATCAGAGAGGGTAGAGGTGAGCTGTTGGCCTGCCACAGCTGGCTGGGAGCACTGTGAAAGAGGACTCGCCTAGACCCGGATGATGGCCCAGTCTGCCGCCCTTGCTATTTGCAGACTCCAGCTCAGCTATCCCAGATGGATCATATGCCCTGGCTGAATAGGAAGGACTTTGAAAGCCTGTCTGTCAAGTCAGAGTAAGGAAGAAAAAGACTTATTTTGGTTGAGAGTTGGAATTACTTTTACACTGGGGTTACAATTTTTCAGAAATGTGTTTGGTTATCTAGTTATTTCCTTCTTTGTTTACAAAAAGGAAGAGGAGGTACAGACATCACATGCATTCTGTGTGATCCCGTTAGTAAACTGAGTGAACTGAATGGACTGTTCAGATGATGCAATAGTCAAAAAGAAATGTTCTTGCTCCTAAATCATTTTCTTTTTCTTTTTTTGGTATTGGGGATCAAACTCAGGATCTTCCGCCTGCAAGGCAGGTGCAGCGCCACTGACCTAAATCTCCGACCCCCATTTTCATTTTCTTTTCTTGACAGTGTAGTGTGTTTTTATAAAAAAATATGCAAGTACAAGGATTGGGGATTTGGCTTAGTGGTGCCACTGCCTGCCTTGCAAGTGCAAGGTCCCAAGTTCAATCCCCAGCCCCCCTCCAAAAAAAGAAAGAAAAGAAAATATCCAAGTATAAAATTGGAAGAAGAGAGAATAAAAGTCTACTTTTACTACAATATAGTGGAAACCACTATACTGGTTAACAGTTTTTTAATTACTTTATCTTTTTTCCCTTGCTTTTTTCTTCCTAGCTAAGGTTATACTGTATATATGTTATACCTTCCTTCCTGGAATTGACAGTCTCATGAAAACATTTGTGTTTATTATTAAAAAATGTTTATTATAAAAAATCTTCATGACATAGCTGTGGAAAATAGTATAGCATCCCTAAAAATATTGAAAATAGAATTACTGTATGACCCACCAGTTTCGATTCTGGATACGTACACCAAACAATGAAAGCACAGACTTAAAGAGACACTGGCACAACCATGTTCTTAGCTGTATTATCATGGTAACAAAAACATGGAACTGACTCAAGTGTCCATTAATGAACGATGAGTGAATGAACAAATTGGTGTGTGCATAATGTGGAAGATTGAAACTAGATCCGCATCTCTCACCCTATACAAAAATCAATCCAAAATGGATCAAAGACTTTACTATAACACCTGAAACTTTGAAACTGTTGAAGAAAACATAAGAGAAACATTTTTTTTTCTTTTTATTTAGTTTATTGGTACAATCTAGGTATACAGTACAGTTACATTCATTATTGGGATCCTGTACCTTTACATGATAGGTCTTGATTCTTATTTTTCCCCTTGTCCCTGCCCTCCCTTCACCCCCTCTTCCCCTCCACATTTACAAACACTTTATTTCCATTTTTTCATTTTCTCATATTTTTTTCTCTCCCTTACTACCTTTCCCCCACCCTTCCCACTTTCCCTATACCTTTAGCCCTTTACTTCCTATTTCACATTATTAATTATCTCATTAGG